GCACGTGCAGCACAACCCCCATTGTGGCACATGCATATGCATTGCCTAGTGGGTGCCTACCTACATGCCAACTTTCAGCGCAATCGGCCCAGTAGTTACCAAGATATTGCAACAATTACGAAACTGACACCTCTTCGTTTTGCACGTGGCACGTGCATAAGGGGTCATCCACATGCATCGGGAATAGTCCAATACTTGGTAGAAGGAATGAAGCTACCCTACAAAAATTACCGCTTGTAAATCGGTCAAGTGGTTGCTGAGATATAAGCCTTGCAAAAGCGTCCGCACGGCCGGCCGGCCGCTCATACTCAGAAATTTCCGTTAATCTAAGGAAAGACTCCGCTCGCTTCGCTCGCTCCGTAAAAAACGCTAGATACTTTTGAAGCCATGGCACCTCTGCTCATTTTAGAGACAAGGTGCAGCTAATGACCAGTGGTGACTCGAATGGTCAGTCATTAGGTCATCAAAGGTCTCTAACACATTTTCGACAGCAACTTTTGATGGAGACGCTGTAGAGCGATGACATCACCTGAAGTGTGTTCAGCTCAGCAACACAGATTGATCCATATGCAGCAGGTTCTTTTCCGGTCAGGACATGACCTTTACTTGATGTCAAGTTTTCTAGTTAAGTTTTTAAGTTCAAATTGTAAGCCATGCGACGTGTTTCGACGAAACAAACACAATGGTGATAACATGAATATGATACACATTCACTGAATCATAGGTTGTTACAGAACAAATGTTTCGGCAAAATCCGTCCGTTTAGCTGTTTGGCCTCTGTGGTACATACACAAGCCATAGACCCGAAGTCATATCTGAGGCGAAGTTGGCGAAAGAGCTTTAATCCTCGCATGTGTAGGGGGGGGGGGGTCGGATGGACCCCCCCATGGTTTTTCGCGAATAACTCGCGTAAAAAGCGGCCGATCGCGTCGAAACGCTCAGTACCCTCACATTGATCAATTTTACACCTACCCTGAAAATTTTATGACCCTGACCCAAATGACCTTTGACTTCTAACAGGTCCCGATTTTCCCGACTTTGGGTCATTGACCTGACCTGGAAGGTCAACCAATGACCTAGGACCTTAAAATTGGGTATCATTGGCTTCGTCTCGTCACGGGCAACACGCTCGTTTTTTTCCGCGAAGCTCTAGCTCGATCAGGGGCCAAACGGCAAGGGGGAGGGGGGTCCAACCGACCCCCCTACACATTAGAAGCTGGCAAACGCCGTACACATGCGAGGGTTAACCCTCGCCGGCACAGGGGGCTGATGCAACCCCCCTAAGGGTTTTAGCAAATAACTTGCGTAAAAAGCGGCCTATCGCGACAAAACTTTTAGTACCCTCGCATTGATCAATTTTACACCTACCCTGAAAATTTCATGACCCTGACCCAAATGACCTTTGACCTGTGACCTCTTTTCCGAGACCATGTTTGGCCGGAATCGCGATTCGACGTATGTCTGCTCGCATTAGCCGCGCGTTTGCAAGCTTTTCGTGGTTTCAAACGTTCAAACATGTGATTTGATGTTGCTCCCATGCATTGCTAGGGTCGGTGTCAAGAAAGGTCAGGTCATTGACCTTTGGTGACCTAGGTTCACTTTTTCGAGTTTTTCATGTTTCTAGGCTAGTTTTTGGAGCTGAATTCGAATTTAGCAACCATATGAACATTTACGAAGTAGTTTTGGTGCCTTCGTAACATGTTACGAAGCTGTCAGAGGCGGATGACAGGTACTACGAATACCCGTCACGACCCCTACCGTTTGACCTGACCTGACCTGACCTGACCTGGTCTAAACGCTTAACGACATCATCTTTGATCAAAACTAACACGATATTCGTGATTAGCACCCCAGAAAACCCCTTAGCAGCCATACTTTACGAATTTCTAACAGGCCCCGATATTCCCGATTCAACCGATGACCTATGACCTTAAAATTGGGTATCATTGGCTTCCTCTCGTGACGGGCAACACGCTCGTTTTTTTCCGCGAAGCTCTAGCTCCATCAGGGGCCAAACGCGAGGGGGTTCGTACCATTTTGAGTTCCCCTTGTGCAGTCGAAGGCAGGGGCCCGGGAACGATTTTCAAGTTGGGGGGCGAGCCTAAATAGGCATGACATGATGCATATGAAACAGTGGCGTAGCTAGGGGTCTAAGGGGACACGTACCCCCCCCCCCCCATCGGGTTCAAAGGGACCCTCGGGTCCGAGGAACCCTGCGGCGCCATTTGACCGCTGAGGGTTAACGATGGCCATATTTCTACTTAGAAGGGCCCCATGATGGGGCTTGTTAGAGCACCTCATGGGCCCTAAATAGCCACTTTAAGATCTCCATAAGGGCCCCACGCCGGCTTCTGAGGGCACCTCGGTGGTCTCCAAAGGCCCGTTACTGGCCTCTGAGAGTTCTTACCGGCCTATGAGGGGCCAGTTTTAGGGGCATTTCCCGCCTGTGATGGTCCCACACTTACTGAGGGTCCCATAACGGCAACTGTGGGGCCCTCATCGGCGCCTATGAGGGCCCACACCGGTGTCTCTGCGGGTTTCACACCCCCAATCCTGAGTGCCTACACCAGTGCCTATTAAAGCCCTATATAGGCGGCTCTGAGGACCCAACCAACACCTGCGCATCTAAAGGCCACCCACTGGTGACTTTTGAGGGCCCCACACCGGTGACTCTGAGGGCCCCACCGGCGTCTGACAGTACCATGCCGGTTTTTAAGGACCCCACAGGACTTCTTCTGCCGGCCTAAGGACCCCTTGCCGGTCACTGAGACCCCCTGCCGGCTTGTAGAGAGTTCACGTCAGCAGCTCTTAAGGCCCCATACCCGTCTGTAACGGCTCCACACCGGCGTCTATGAGGGCCCACAGCAACGCCTGTAAGGACCCTCATCGGCGCCTGAGAGAATCACACTAGCACCTCTGAGCGCCCACACCGGCACCTGCATGACGGCCCCACACCGGTGCCTCTAAAGGCCCCTTACCGGCGGCTCTGAGGGCCATACGCCGGTGATTCTGAGGGTGCTACCGATAACCGAAGGCACCACACAAGCCCTTGGTGTCGCTGAGCTTTAATCCCATACCGGCCCTCCAAGGGCGCCACGTCAGTGCACTCATTGCCCCACACCCCTCCCTCACACCCGGAGAGGGTAAACTGTGTTATACCTATAGCAACGATTTTACTTCGGTGTACGTTATGTACTATATGTTACTATATGTATATGTTATATAGGTATGTTACTATATGTAACGTATAGTACTTATATGTACTATACGTCATGTACGTTATGTACCGGTATTTCTCACAGTTGACTCAAAATGGTCCAGTATACAATCTGGCCTGCCAAACTTATGGCCAAGGTCAGGCCCAAATCAAAGCGGGATGACAATAGCAGATGCTGGCAAATCGATACTGTATCAGCAGAAACCATTCAGATGGCAAGGAAAATGCCGTGTGTTGATGTTTTGATGTATAAAGGAAACAATAAGGAAAGAAGTCCGGAAAAGGGAGGAAAGATCTTTTCTCGCCGCCTCAATGTTGAGGGGGCGCCGCCCCCTCGGCTCCCAAGTTGGGGGGGGGCAAGCGCCCCCGCTGCCCCCCTGTTCCCGGGTCTATGGTCGAAGGACTCAAAATGCCCGGTGCCGGCGAGGGTTAAAAAACTATCGAGTATCGAGTACGCTTTCTGTGTTGCTATAGCTCTTATTCGTGTTTTACGGGTTGCTAAGGTAAAACGTTTACCAACGTAACGCTAAGGTGTGCTTTTTCGGCCCCTGATCGAGGTAGATTTTCGCGGAAAAGCGAGGATGCTGCCCGTGATGAGAGAAAGCCGATGATGCCTAATTTCAAGGTCTTGGCCGGGTCATCTTACGTCAACGCCCAAAAGTAGAAAAAAAATCTGGCCTGCTAAAACTTTGTGAGCCGTAGCTGTTATCGGGGTTACGAGTACGAGTTCGATGTCAGTTTTGAACAAAGATGATGACTCCATGCATTTGGAGTAGATGGGGTCGGGTCAGGTCAGGTCGACCAGCAGGCTTCCTGCCAGCCATCTAGAGTGTGTGACAACCACCAACGATATAGCTTCGTAAAATGTACATAACCACCAAAATTGAACCAATCAAAACTACTTCTTAAGTTCAAACGGGCACTAAACTCGAAATCAGTTCCAAAAACTGCACTTGTAATTGGAAGCAAATAAAACTCAAAAATTGAACCAAGGTCATCTATATTCGAATCAGGGCCAAATATTTTTTGCCAATACATTTTTAGAGTAGGTGTAAAATTGATTAACTCGAGGTCACTGGAAGTTTCGTTGCAATAGGCTCCTTTTTGCGCGTCTTATTGGGAAAGCCCGGGAGGGGTCCACCATCTGACCCCATTTCCCCTATACAGGCAGGTCCGAGAATAGTCAGGGCTGATGATAGTTAGGTACCTCGTAGTTACTGATGTCATCCGACGAATCGACTGCAACCATTATTTCGACAATCAGACGAACGCTTGGGTCAGTTTTGGCGCGCTCACTCCTTTGAGGGATAAAAAAGGACTAGAATAGTGGCTAGAATAGGTTAAAATATTGTTATGCTGATGTTCCACGCCTATAGCTTATTGACCTATAGGCAATAGGGACTAAGGAGCTCTTGAAGCTATTCTGAATATGACGTTGTATTTGTTGATGTTGCTGACGCCAAGTTCACTGAAGCATACTCAGCTCAAAAAAGCATACTCAGCATCGCCAAAAGTGGGGGGTCGACCCCACCCCGGTTCTCACGAGTGGGGGGGGGGGGTCGCGACCCCCGCGACCCCTCCCGTCGGTGACGCCCCTGGATCTTTAGAAGGGCGTTGAGGGACGCCATTGGGCATGGAGATGGGCATTGGGCATGAAGTGGTCGGGCGCCCACTGAGGGAGTGCTCGGGCGCCCACTGACAGGTGGCTGTTAGTGCTCGGGCGCCCACTGACAGGTGGCTGTTAGTGCTCGGGCGCCCACTGACCGGTGGCTGTTACCGCCAGGTTTTGGATATATACGACTGCCAGCAGGGCTTACTGCGTATCGGCCCGTTCAACTATGAGCCGCTGCGGGCGGTCGACCTGTGGCTGCAGCAGAGTGACGAGGTGCTGCTCAAACACCTCTCCACCAGTCCCGAGGTGGAGCCGCCGCACTTCGCCATGCAGGTGAGCCGTACTGAGCCGCCGCTGCGCCCGGCCGGCGTGGCTGCCAGCGATAGCGAGCGCCGCTGTACACTGATCGGAAACGCCCTCACCACAGGCCACGGGCCTTCCCGGAAGTTCAGATTACTTTTAATGTCGACCAATTACAAATCACGAAATTATTATAATTAGCCCCAAAAAGCTATTCCAGGTGACCAAAAATAACTGCAATCAGTCCCCAAACATGAGGTACCCCAGAACTCGGAAACTGACGTGAAGCAAGAGCTGGATATTAGCTGAATATTCAGAGTCTTGCTGTTAATTAGACACAAAATTCAATTCCCGCACATAAAGTTTCGTCGCGGTCGATCGCGACAAAACCTTCAGTATCCTCGCTTTGTCAACCAGTAAAACGCCTTTTGGGCGAAGAACGAACGAGCGAGAGAGTGAGCCCTGCACGTGCAGAATTGCGAGAGGGTGTTTCCAACTGGCATGTGTACGGCACCATCCTAACCTGTCTATATTAATGTGCCGAATTTGAGCGCAATCGGCCCAGCCGTTCTTTAGATCTGGAAGCGTCACCCTGCACGTGCGCACGTGCAGTAGTACCCTAACCGTTACACAAAGGAATGTAGTGTACATATAATGGTTGCCTACCTGCATGCCGAGTTTCTGTAAATGGGATTTTTAATGCGGAATCATCTGGATGGCAAGACTTGCGCATTGCCAAAGCCTACTATACAGAATCGGAGCGATGCGTTTGAAAGGGTATACTGCAAATGACATACAAATGCATACGCAATTTCAAAACAAAGTTATTTGGCATGCATGCTGCTTGGGAAGGTGTAAAGTATAAACTTGAATTGCATTCGAACGCATTTTGGGCGATATTCATGAGTAACAGAGCACAAAACAACAAGACTCGGGTCACGGCCCAGGACAGATATTTCAGCCTATCGAGCTTGGGTGGCGTTCAGATGGGTATGGTTTGGAAGTGCCTTGCGTAATGTCAAAAAGAGTTTTGCTTTTCACCTGCCAGGGTATCTGGCTACAAAATAAACCATCATTCGGTTATATTTTTCATTTTGGTATCCTAGGTCCCTGAAGCGCTAGAACGCCTGGATCGCCTACTGTGCACCGATAGCTTCGTAACACCAGTATAACGCCTTTTGGGGCGACTAACGGAGCGAGCGAGAGGGTGAGCCTTGCACGTGCGAAATTTCGACGGGGTACCTCCAGCTGACTTGTGCACGGCACCCTACTAACCGGTCTCTAGCGATGTGCCAAATTTGAGCACAATCGGCCCAGCCGTTCTCGAGATCTGGAAGCGGCACCCTGCACGTGCGCACGTGCAAAATGGGTCCCAACTGACTTGTGCACGGCACCCTACTAACCGGTCCCCAACTGTGTACCAAATTTGAGCGCAATCGGTAGAGCCGTTCTCGAGATCTGGAAACGACCCCTGCACGTGCGCACGTGCAGCAGCACCCCAACTCTGGCACATGGACATGCAGTGCCTAGTGGGTGCCTACCCACATGCCAACTTTCAGCGCGATCGGCCAAGTAGTTACCGAGATATTGCAACAATTACAAAACGGACACCTCCGTTTTGCACGTGGCACGTGCATAAGGGGTCACCCACATGCATCGGGAATAGTCCAATACTTGGTAGAAGGAATGAAGCTACCCTACAAAAATTACCGCATGTAAATCGGTCAAGTGGTTGCTGAGATATAAGCGTCGCAGAATCGTGACCACGGCCGGCCGGCCGGCCGGCCGGCCGCTCATACTCAGAAATTTCCGTTATTCTACGTAAGACTCCGCTCGCTTCGCTCGCTCCGTAATAACATCTAGAGTGGACCACCATTTACCAAAACTACTTCTTATGTTCAAACGGGCGCTAAACTCGAAATCAGCTCCAAATACTACAGTTGTAAGTAGAAGCAAATAACACTTGAAAAAAGTAAACCAAGGTCATCTATATTCAAATCAGGGTCAACAATTTTTTAGAGTAGGTGTAAAATTGATTAACTCGAGGTCACTGGAAGTTTCGATGCAATAGGCTCCTTTTTGCGTGTCTTATTGGGAAAGTTCGAGAGGGGTCCACCATCTGACCCCATCCCCCCTATGCAGGCAGGTCCGATGGTAGCCGGGGCATTCCACGTCAAATCGAACAAAAATCGGCTGTTTTGCACCTTACCATCAGCGATTTCATTATAAATTTGTGGGCGAGTTCCTGTGTCGCCCCGGACATTACATTGATGTTTTTTTGCACATTCTGACCACAGGTCTTCTAAATATAGCTCATCAAATTTTTACAAAATGTTGCATCTTCTTATTTTTGAACGACCATAACTTTGGTTGTACTTGTTTGATTTGAATGAAATAAACCTTACTGTTTAGTTAATTTCTTAAGCATTTGTTTAGAATTGCACCTACTTAAATATATGACCTTGAAATTTGCTTCACCCGCGCCCGGCTGGGGTCCTGGATTTCCACGCCCTGTTGGGGGGGGGGGTGTTTGAACACCCCCCCTTCTAACTCGGCTCCTGGGCCACGTAGCGATACGCGGAAGGCGGCGTTCGAAAGAGCGTCAAAAATAATGAGGAAATCACTTCGGTCAATTTTTTGGTCAGGTCAAAGGTCAGGTCACCAGAGGTCATTGAAGGCAAAATTTCGCCGATTTGCAGGTCGAATGTCGACAATTTCCAAGAAGCCAACGCATAACTCGGGAACCAATAGAGCTACAGCGCCGCGGAAAAGCGCATTCGATAGCCCTATTAACGCCCTTTCTGAGTAATTTCTCAGATTTGACCTAACGTCAACGGTTTTGCCTGCAGGGGGCAAAAACTGCAAAAATAGCCGATTTTTTCGAAAACAGTTTTTCTGCAATAACTTTTGACCCAAGCCTTGTACGAGCTTACTTTTACCGGCATCGTGTTCCTCTCGTCAAGACCCATCGAATGAACTATAACTTGACCTTGAAAGGTCAACTTGAAAATTTGACCTCAGGTCAAGGTTATGACCTGACCGGAAAGGGTCATGTTGCATATCAGTCGATCCGTATCGTCGAGCTGAATACTCGAGGGCAGCGCTTTTCGAGGAGCGCTGTGGCCCGAAGGTTTGAACTTTGAATTGTGAAAAACGCCCGCCCGCCGCAAAACGCAAACACCGCAAAACGCACGCCCGAAACGCCAATGCAAAGGTCGCAAAAAATAAACAAACGCCCGCCGCAAACCGCAAATAAAAAAAACGCAAAAACGCCGCAAAACAATAAAACCGCCCGCATCGCACGCCCGCTAACCGCCAACCGAAAACGCCTGAAAATCGCCCGCCCGTATCGTCGAGCTGAATACATCTAAGGCGTTTTCATCGCTCTAGCATGCCTGTATCAAAAGTTATTTGCGAAAAACTGTTAGATACCATTTGTGACCTAAGATGACCTCAGGGCATAAACAGAGGTCACGGACACCATTTTCATGTTCAGTGCGTCTAAACCACTTGTAATTCAGTGTTGGGAGTGTTTATAATGTCTTTCGTCCAAAGGAGGCGCATTTCAATTTTCTCCCATTGACTTATAATGGGGAGGTCGCAAAATTGGCCTGACCTTAGGTCATCGATATCAAAATTCTGAGATAAACATTTGTACATGCTATTGCTCTTAGCAATCGCTGAAAGTTTCAAAGCGATCGGTCACTCGGTGTAGCTATGACAGACATTGAAACTTTTTATGAGGTGAGGTCACTTCAAGTGACCTGGTGACCTGACCTTGAATGACCTTGGTCTGAATTTTCACAACATGTGTAGAATTGATGTATGATAAGGTTTTAACACCCCCCCCCCCCCCCAGCAGGGCGCGGGTTAAGTCTGTTCTTAAGCACAAACATTGAAATAGCAAAAAACACGCCACCTTCGATTTGGCTCATTTTCATATATTTTATTGCCTACCATATTCTTAACAACCTGTGAAAAAATTAGAGTGGGCCATTCATAAGTTTTGAAGAAAATGGCACATATGCAAAGGTATGTTAGCACGCGCAGTTGAGGGGGAAGAGCGAATTTCGCCCCAACCCTCCTGTTTTTCGTCAATATCTCATAATATTAATGCGAAATTAATTATGGCTACCTGTCCAGAATTGAATTGCACATCTCATCCTGCAAGCAATAAGAAAATCGGTTCACAACTGTTCTAGTAGGTAATAGCGGTGTAAAGTGAACATCCTGTCGCCGCGGCGACGCGGCGACTCAGCAGCCGGCGCCAGCCGCTACGCGCCGCCTGAATTGTAGACTGTGCCGGGACGGAAGGGGACGGTTCCGTCTTTACATCGCGCTCCTTACCGCTGATTACGTTCGATTCGCGTCAAATTTTGTGAGAAGACTAAAAAATATACAGGCAATCTTATGGTGAAAGAATTTTGAAAATCGATTGGTAAACAATTGAAATATGAACGTGTAAACAAAAAATTGTGATTGCTGCGTTTCCCGCGTCGGCCGATCCCGCCTCAGCCGGCGACATAGGTATTACTCTTAGCAGGCCTGTAACTGCCATATTTATTATTCGATTAACTAGAAATTCCCCATACATACTCAAAATGTATGTTCTTCGGTATAGCGAAGATAAAAAGACGTGAGGACATCGTTGCGTGATAATGTTTTCGTTGAATCAATTTACTTCATGATGCATTTCCACACGGCTCAAAATTCACCGCAAAATACCGTTTGCCTGAGACACTTTTACTATGGAACTTGAATGATTGACTACGATGACTATGCATTTCCATTCTCGCAGAGTTTGGGATATCACTAATCAACAATCATTCATTTCAGAAAGTGTACACAAGCAAGCATGTCTTGACTCTGTCTTTCAAGGTCACGCGCGGTTGCGTGATGTTGATGCATAAAAACGGCGTTTGCCGCGAAAGTTATGAATGGCCCACTCCATTTTTTTCTTTTTTTACAGATGGTTAGGAACATTGTGACGGACATAATATGTAAAAATTACCCAAATCGAAGGTGGCGTGTTTTTTGATATTTAAATTCTGTTTTAATTCAAGGTCAAATGCATTTCAAGGTCACTTCAATTTAATTTTATAATTAAAAATCAAAGCCTTATCAATTGCCTACAAGACCCTGTTCATATCATTTTGATACCAGAAAAGGAACCAGAGTTATAGACATTAAAAAGATTGATGTGTGGCATTTTTGGCTATATTCGATGACCTATATCTCAGCGATACGTTATCAAATTTCGAAAATATTATACGTAACTCAGTTTTGAACCATGCCCAGTCTGCCGACAAATTTTCAGAAAAATCGAAGGGGATGACGATTGACGGATTTCGGTGTTTGATTTGACGTGGAATGCCCCAGCCAGGGCTGAGGCTAGTTAGGTACGGCCCTCCAGGTATTTAGTGGTTGGTTGCCAACATCACAATAATCGATCTGCATTGATGAATACGTCTAATGGCTGTTGAAAACCACTGCCGAAATGTGTGCACGAACCCTTTCCTCATTTCTATTAAGTCATTTTACAGGAGTGTCTCTGTCATTTAAAGTTATTACAACAAAAGCACATAGGCTAGCCAACCACTCTTTTGCTGGAGGGCCGTACCTCGTAGTTACTGATCCGTCATCCGACGAATCGACTGCAACCATTTTTTTGACAATCAGACGTACGCTTGGGTCAGTTTTGGCGCGCCCACTCCTTTGAGGGATAAAAAGGGACTAGAATAATGGCTACTTAAAAAATACTGTCATGCTGGTGTTCCACGCCCACAGCTTACCTATAACCTATAAGCAATATAGGGACTAGGGAGCTCTTGAAGCTATTCTGAAGTGAATATCACGTTTTTTTTTTTTTTTTGTTGCTGACGCCAACTTCACTGACATGATGGCTCAAAAAGCATACCCAGCATCGCCAAAAGTGTGTGGGGGGGGGGGTCGACCCCCCCCGGTTCTCAAGAGTGGGGGTCGCGACCCCTGTGCCGTCGGTGACAACCCTGCCTCCCCCCCCCCCCACTAGGGCGAAGTTGGCTGAGACCGCCACTGGGGCGCGGGTTAACAAACATCTTCACGTCATGTCTTTAGTGGTCGACACCCAAATGATAGCTTACATATAGCAGAAGAGGTAGACAAAGTTTGATGGAAGTTTACTGTTTAGTTCACTTCTTGCGAAGTAGTAAGCAAAAAACATTTGCAGACAGGCCGCTGGCCCCTCGCCGCGCTGGACCATTTCCGACTGCAGTGTACGCTGGTGCTGACCGCTGTCCGCCGCTGGTGCTGACCGCTGTCCGCCGCTGGTGCTGACCGCTGTCCGCCGCTGGTGCTGACCGCTGTCCGCCGCTGGTGCTGACCGCTGTCCGCTGCTGGTGCTGACCGCTGTCCGCCGTCCGACAGGTCCGCACCTCACTGAAGCACATTCAGGAGCATCCGTTTCCGGCCATCACCATCTTCCCGGACGGCCGTCCGCACTACTTCCGCAAGGACCAGCTGTCGGGCCAGTGGGTGCAGATCCGCTACTGAACGCCCGGCCGGCCCGAGCGCGCCGCGCCGCCAACCAGCCGCCCATTATATTGTTAGCTGTTGAACGCCACTGGTGATACACGATGCGGCCTTGGCGCCGGTGGCCTGCGGTGTCGGCCGGCGAGGAGCGGCCGGGCGCCCGGTCCAGTGACCGCGGCCGGCCGGGCGCTGCGCCGCGCCGCGCCACGCTGAGCTCCTCTTCTCTCTGTGCAGGGCCGCCGAATGGACCTTTTTGTGCAGTTTGCTGATTGACGAAGAGTTGATATTTAATGTAAGCAGCAGTGGTCTAGTATTGTTGACTATGAGTGAGTGAGGATGAGTAGAACACTGCGACTTTGATTTCGATGTATACATAAGTGTCGTTCACGTTGATCGATTATTGCTGAAGGTAAACACACAGATTTAAATGAGATGCTATGAAATGAAACTAGTAGGTATTCAGAGGTGGCGGTTTATGTGCGTATCAGCAACCACACGGTGCCAGTGGAATTTGGCACTTGGTTTGAATAAGTTTAATGAGTCGAACGATGATTTACCCTAATTTACATTTGGATATCCCCGCATGTAGGTATTTAAACTCAAACACAAATGCGACCTGATTAAGTTTAACCTTCCAGGCGGGGGGATTTTTTTTTTGTCCCCCCCCCCCTTTAGTTTTTTCGATATATCTCCAGAACCGCTGCGCCGATCGTCATCTAACTTTCAGTACCCTCCCGGGCATAACTTTTACACATTGTGACTAATATTTTTTCCAAAGACTACAATAGGTTAGCCGCTAATGACGTCGCAGTGACGTCATGTTCTGCCATTTTCGACAAAAAAAAGTTTCGCGAGAAGAGCTGTCAGGCCTACAGCTTTGAAGATACAGAAAAATGCCCGAGACATTAAAGGTGTAGAATTGATAGGGCTATAAAACTGCTATCTCGGATTTTTGAATTTTTAGATGTTGACCTCCAAAATGGAAAACGTTATTTTTTTGATATAATATCAAAAAATCCAAACGTTTTTCGATTTTCGGGAAAACCGGAATATATATGATAGTACCCACAGATTTCTATCCACATACAAAATGTCAGATCGTTACCTCTAAAAATATCAACTTTGAAATTTGGCCTAAGTTGACCTGTGCTGTTTTAGAGTCATATTTTTCCCAGGTTTATGTTTATGTTTATAGATATGGACTTGCATACGCAATACAATCCCAGTGAATTCCGATAAAGTTTTATATCTAAGTTGACCTGACCTTGACCTGACCTTCACCAGGAAGTGACCTAAATTGTACCTGATGGTCTTATAACCAACACTACTCAGTTGGAAAAAATTGGCCATAGAACATGCATCGCACAATCCTAGTAAAGTTGGGTTCATGTGCTGACCCTTGGTGACTTGGCCTGTGACCTGACCTGGTATTATCAGTGACCTCTAATATCAACTTGTGTACTAGGCAACTGACGCCCTATCGCTGATTTTCGACAAAATGCGTTTTACTCGATGGTGTAGCGCATTCCCTAGGAGACCCGTGAACGGTGAAACATTTTATCTTTGACCTGACCTGTGACGTCATCAGTGACCCTGAGGTCAATGAAATCGGAATTCCATGGACAAATTTGACAGGGTTGTCCAACGCCGTTTGAATCTTACGCATCCCTTCAGTAGTTTCGGAGATACGAGGGGGGGGGGCAAAAAAATACTCCCCTCCCCCAGGTTGACCTGGCCTGACCTGAACTGGCCTAAATTAATAAGGACGTCATCTGTGATCAAAACTAACATGAAATACGTGATTAGTACCCCCGAACCCCCATATGAACCTTACTTTACGAAGTTTTAACAGGTCCCGATTTTTCCAACTGTTGGGTCATTGGCCTCACCTGGAAGGTCAACCAATGACCTAGGCCACTGATGTTAGTTGTCGAACTTTCGTCCCCGTCTTGAGTTGAGATGTTAGTTTCACAACGTTTCGGCCAGTTAGACAGACAGACAGACGTTTATTCGGAGTCTCCATACAATGGGTTTTGTGACTTCCACGTCAAGTTACGTCTCCGGCCGTCGTCAGGTGTTCTTTGGCCCTTAGAAGGACCTGGATGTTGGTGGCGTTGCGCCGTACGCGTCATACCGTTCGAATGCTCCTGTAGTCAGCGGGAATCGTACTCGGGTTTCCCCGGTGATAGTCCACGGTTCTAACCACTCCACTACCGAGGCAGTGCCTCGATATGGAGAAGTAACTGGCCGAAACGTTGTGAAACTAACATCTCAACTCAAGACGGGGACGAAATTCCGACAACTAACATCAGTGATACTTACACCTCGTCTCAAGCATTAGGAAGAACTATAAATGACCTAGGCCTTAAAATTGGGTATAACGGCTTCCTATCGTAACGGGCAGCATGCTCGTTTTTTCGGGAGGCTCTAGCTCGCTCAGGTGCCGAACGGCAACAGAGGTCTAACGGACCCCCTCCCCCATCTTTTACGCTCGACGCTGGCAAAACACCAATATGGGCAAGGGTTAACCCACGCCCTGCCGGGGGGGGGTGTTTGAACACCCCCTGCGGTTTTTCGCGAAAATCTCAAAAATGCGCCGCCGTTTTTGGCACACCTTATCATACATCTTTTCGACATACGTTGTGGAATTTTTTTGACCCAGGTCACTTAAGGTCAGGTCACCAGGTCAGTTCAAGTGACCTCACTACATCAAAAGTTCCAATGTCTGCCAAAGCTACACCGAGTGACCGATCGCTTTGAAAATTTCAGAGCTTGATAAGAGCAACATCATGTACAAAATGTATATCTTTAAATTTTAATGTCGATGACCTAAGGTCAGGTCAATTTTGCGACCTCCCCATTGCCTATACTTTGAAAGTCGCCTTTTTTAGACGGAACTCACTATAAACACTCTAAAACACTGAATTACTAGTACGGGGACCCGCAGTTGCTACTGTACAGCGACCCTGAGTAAATTGTCCCAGCACCCTCACAGGGAACAACGATAAGCTGTCAGAGGGCACGCACAGAAAACCTCAGCTGCTCTTGTACAGGGACCGGCAGTCGATATCAATGCTATCGGTTGTTACTGGACAGGAGAGACGGCTAGAGTTGGGGTTCGTGTACAGAAGCAACTGCGGGTCCCCGTACCTATCTTTGACACACTGAACATGAAAATGGTACCCGTGATCCCTTTTTGACCCATGAGATGACCCCTGATGTCATCTCAGGTCACCAATAATATCTTACTGTTTTTCGCGAATAACTTTTGATAGGGGCATGCTAGAGCGACGAAAACACATTGGTTGTATTTGACTCGACGATACGGATTGACTGATATTCAACTTGACCCTTACCGGTCAGGCCATGACCTTGACTTCAGGTCAAATTTTCAACTTGACCTTTCAAGGTCAAGTGATAATTCATTCGACGCGTCTTGACGAGAGGAACATGATGCTGGTAAAAGAAAGTTTGTGCAAGGTTTGAGTAAAAAGTTATTTCAGAAAAACGGTTTCCGAAAAAATCGGCTATTTTGGCAGTTTTTGTCTCCTGCAGGCAAAACCGTTGACGGTAGGTCTAATCCCAGGGAGGTAATCAGAAAGAGCGTTAATAGGGCTATCAACTGCGTTTTTCCGCGGTGCTGTAGTTTTATTAGTTTCCGAGCTGTGCGTCGATTTGTTGAAAAATGTCGACATCTGACCACAAATTGGTGAATTTTGGCTTTCAATGACCTCTAGTGGCCTGACCCTTGACCTGACCAAAAAAGTGGCCATAGTGATTTCTTCCTTATTTTTGAAGCTCTTTCCAACGCCGCCTTTCCCGTATCGCTACATGGCCCAGGAGCCGAGTTAGAAAGGGGGTGTTCAAACACCCCCCCCCCCCCAGCAGGGCGTGGAAATCAAGGACCCCCAGCAGGGCGCGGGACCTTGGTTATTTGCACGTGTGCAGAAAACCTTTATAATGAGTTATGTCAAAAACGAAAAGATAAATAAGTAGGAGTAGAAAGGTCAAATATTCGAGAAACCGCAGGGGGTGTTTACGGGGGGGGGAGGTAAAGTCAAAACACCCTCTTACTCAGCAGGGTCCGGGATATCGCGTGACCAAGTCCCAGGGGCTTGCCACACATTTCAGCATTTTGGTCAACAGTTGAATTATGTTGCATAGTCGTTGACCGTCACACATGTCTAGGTTTACACGCAAACAATGCTTCTTTCTCCTTTACCCGAGTCTTGTGTTTTCTCCAATGCGTGCCAAGAATTACTTGTATTGCCATTTGTGTATCTCTCACACCGCTGTAGTGTCACGTTATTTGAGCAGCATCGTGTGGAAATCACAATATATATTATATATGAATAAAATGATTCCTTTTTTACAGGTTAGCACGAAATGAAGCTATAATAAATACTCATTTCTTTGCTCAGATATACTGTTTTCTGTTTTGTTTTGCATAGTAATGCGCTAACAAGTTCTGTTTCATTCAGATATCCATGCAAACCGGTTCTGTTTTCGTATAAACAGAACATAATACATTATGGTGTTCAAAGAGCATTTCTTCATCACATCGTAACGGATTGCAGGACTAGGCGTTATCTTAACGAGCTTCCCTGTATCTTCATTTAGGCATTTATACATTTCGTGCTATTATTTCCATAACGGCTTCCCTATCCCTAGTGCACTCTCTATCCCTCTTGCTTCACTGAACAGTTCGGTTGATTATGGTGCTCACAGCGTGCTGGAGCAGCTCCGCGGTTTGCTGAGGCGCGGTCCGTCCATCCACTCTCGTTTTCAGAAATCCGGAAGCCTGGCCGCGTCGACTCCGGTCACGTGGCTCCTCCCTCGGCAGTGTCCGCTTCCTTGGTGATCTGCTCACCAGTGACAGGGGCCCGCCCCGCCGGCTGACCCTGCCCTCCCTGAGACGCTATCTGTGGGGACCCGGCTCCTGATGCTGCCTGTGGAAATCCAGCTCCTTCTGGTGCTGCCTGTGGCGACCCGGCACCTTCTGATGCTGCCTGTGGGAATCCGGCTCCTGATGCTGCCTGTGGAAATCCAGCTCCTTCTGATGCTGCCTGTGGGAATCCGGCTCCTTCTGGTGCTGCCTGTGGGGATCCGGCTCCTGATGCTGCCTGTGGAAATCCAGCTCCTTCTGATGCTGCCTGTGGGGACCCGGCTCCTGATGCTGCCTGTGAGAATCCGGCTCCTTCTGGTGCTGCCTGTGGCGACCCGGCACCTTCTGATGCTGCCTGTGGGAATCCGGCTCCTGATGCTGCCTGTGGAAATCCAGCTCCTTCTGATGCTGCCTGTGGGAATCCGGCTCCTTCTGGTGCTGCCTGTGGGGATCCGGCTCCTGATGCTGCCTGTGGAAATCCAGCTCCTTCTGATGCTGCCTGTGGGGACCCGGCTTCTGATGCTGCCTGTGGGGATCCGGCTCCTGATGCTGCCTGTGGAAATCCAGCTCCTTCTGATGCTGCCTGTGGGGACCCGGCTTCTGATGCTGCCTGTGGGGACCCGGCTCCTGATGCTGCCTGTGGGGACCCAGCTCCTTCTGATGCTGCCTGTGGGAATCCGGCTCCTTCTGATGCTGCCTGTGGCGATCCGGCTCCTGATGCTGCCTGTGGGAATCCGGCTCCTTCTGATGCTGCCTGTGGGGATCCGGCTCCTGATGCTGCCTGTGGAAACCCAGCACCTTCTGATGCTGCCTGTGGGAATCCGGCTCCTTCTGATGCTGCCTGTGGGGATCCGGCTCCTGATGCTGCCTGTGGGGATCCGGCTCCTGATGCTGCCTGTGGGGATCCGGCTCCTTCTGATGCTGCCTGTGGGGATCCGGCTCCTGATGCTGCCTGTGGGGATCCGGCTCCTTGGGTTGACCGTTCCGCCCACGGTGGCTCGTGCCTTGCTGCTGCAGGTGGTTCTATCGCCGCCGACGGCGCGGACGTGCCGGGCTGCTGCCGCTCCGAGTGGCCGTCGGCCGGCTGGTCCGAGCCGGCTACCCGGGCGACCGACTCCCGCTGGACTGGCGCCGCCCGTCTGGCGTCGCGATCGGGGGCCACCTCATGAGCGCTGGCGGTCTCTGATGGGAGCTGTGATGGCTTGGCTCTGTATGATTGATGTGCTTCTTCAAGGAAGGCAGCGGTCTCGGCCTCAGCGGGCCCCGCTGGTGGAGTTGGAGAGTCGGCCCCCCGTAACTCCTCTGAGGGCCGCCAGTTGGCAGCTGCCTCCGACTGCAGCACCGGGCCGCGCATGGCCTCCTCACTGTGACTGACGGGACCAGCTCGCGGCGGCAGCTCTAGATCTGTCTCGCCACCGGTGTCATCAGTCGTACTGGACCCGCCGGGCTCCGCCACGTGCAGTTCCGTCTTCAGTATATCGATCATTGGGCGGGCGGCATCCTCTGTTTTGGCTGGCTGGTCTTCTGGCTCTTCAGCGAGGTTGTCAGCGGAATGTCGTTCAATGTGTGTTGTCCTTTCCGTTTCTGATTTAGGACGCATGCTGTCTTCTGCGCTGCGCTCCACATTGAGCTGTTCATGAACTTCCGTTTTGATGGGCTCTTTGTCGCCGGCTTCAGTTTTGACCACGTCGGCTCTGTCCTCGACTTGTGGATCTTTCTTTAATATTCCAGTGCTGGGCTCATTATACTCTAATTTGAGACATCCCTTTTCATCGGTAACTTCCTCCATTACTTTTGCTAACTGGAACAGTCTCGGGTTTGACTTCTCAATGTCTGAGAGTGACACCAATTTTCTCTTGATTAGCTCACGTTTGCGTATTTCGGTTGTAAGCTTCTGCCGCATTGTTTTGTGCAATGCATTCTTCTTCAGCAGAGTTTTTGCACAATATTCGTAGTCCTTCTGACTCTTAGCTTCATCTTCCCCAGACTTCTCCTCCAACTCAGTCAGAATAGTTCTAGTCTTAGCTTCTTGATCTTGCTCCTCCAACCGGCTCGTTTCCAAGACTTCCATCCGCTTTCTTTCCTTGATGAGTAATTCCTCAAGCAGTTTGAGCCGCTGCTGCTCCTCGTCCCTCTCGTTGTCTCTGAGGAGCTTGTTCTCTTCAATGCGCATCCTCAGTTCCTCGATGCGGTTGTTGAGCTCGTGGGAGGTGGCCTCCTCCTCGATCCGCTGAGTGTCGTGCAGGCCGCGACGCTCCTCGCTCTTCTCTCGCTGACGGGCCAGCGCCTGTGTCAGCCGGGCGATGAGCTCCTCCTCGAGGATCCTGGCCACAGTGCGGCGCTTTTCTCGCTCTCTGGCGCGTTCCTGCTCTGTCTGCAGCTCGGCCAGCAACCTGCGCAGCAGCTCCTTTTCCAGAACCTCTTCTTCCAGCCGCAGCTCCTTGCGCTCCTTGCTCGACTCTCGCGTGCGCTCTATCTCACGTTCCACCTCACGCTCGCGCAGCAATTCGCGCTGCGTCTCCAGCGCGCGCCGCAGCTGGCCCTCCACCTCGAGGTCGCGCTGCGTCTCCAGCTGGCGCTGGTACTCGCGGTGCTGGCGCCGCCGGCGGCGCAGCTGGTGGCGTCGCTGTCGCGCGCGCCGGTCCCACCAGGCCGGGTCGTCGGCACTGCTGGCGCTGGCCGGCCGGCCGGCCGTACTCCAGTCGCCGTGGCCGCTGTCCGCCTCACCTGGCCGGCAAAAGGCGGGGAGAGGTGGAGCAAGTCAGGCACACCATCGGCGCCGCTATCACGCCTTCTATGGCTTTCATGTTACTATTTTTGTTACCATGATAGGATTGCAAATGTCCACCGTTCAGCCTGCAATGGAAGTGCCGAGAAATGGAAAAGACCTCGTTTTCATCTAATAAATATGATTCTGAGGGTGCCAAAGTATATCCCAGAAAAATATTGATGACAATAGGGAAGAGTTCTAACATGGATGAAGTATTTCTGGATAGGACACTCCCTATTCCCCAACACTAGCGCCGGCGACCAAGCGATTGCCCTGGTGGCGGAGCGCCGAAACATCGGCGGCGAGTGCACTGGCGGCCGCCACACCGGCTTGCGTGCTGAAAACGCGGTAAGGGAGAGCGAAATTAGTGGGCTTTAGCTCGTAAGACACGATTTCAGACACTTTAAACAATCATATTTTTAGTCCTTTCTAATTATAACTATGGCTCCATTCAGTCACTATCACATAGGTACGGAACCATTACACACGATCCACCCATATCACACAAGGCTAAATGGCGCCTACGCCCTCGCCGTCGTGCGTGGTCGGAAAATACGGCGGAGTGTCCCATCCAGGCCTAATCCATGGTTCTAAAATCTAAGCAGCTTTTCGACATTTGTGGTGATACGCGGCGTGTATGCCGCACTCTCAGTAAACTACGACCACTAAAGTCAGGACGGTTAAACCAGTAAAACGCCTTTTGGGCGGAGAACGAGCGAACGAGATAGTGAGTCCTGCACGTGCGCAAGGGCGAGAGGGTACTTCCAACGGGCTTGTGCAAAGCACCCTTCTAACCGGTCGCTAGCGGTGTGCCAAATGTGAACGCAATCGGCCCAGCCGTTCCTAAGATCTGGAAGCGGCATTCTGCACGTGCGCACGTGCAAGCGGGGTCCAAACTGACTTTGGCACGGCACCCTACTAACTGGTCCCCAGCCGTGTACCAAATTTGAGCGCAATCGGCCCAGCCGTTCTCGAGATCTGGGAGCGCCCCCTGCACGTGCGCACGTGCTGTAGCACCCCAACCTTAAAGGGACCCTCCCACCTTCAAAAAAGTTAACAAATTGGCATGAAAGTGATGTCGCTCGGTTCAGAAAGAGCGAAAACGAATATCTACCAAATTTCATCGAAAATATTCACCGGTTTTCAAGATATTAGACTTTTACTTTTGTTTACTTTTTGGGATCTCCGCTGTTCCTAGCGACTTTATTTGAAAGTGCGGCATTTGTTGCGCGCAAAGCAGCATATACCACCACGTGCTACCAAACGTTTTAGTAAAAGATTTAAAAATCGTTAGATATCTGCGCTGACGTCACACATTCAGAGGGGTATTCCTATGCATTAGCCCCTCTGAATCAAAATGCTGCAATTTTGAAATTCAATATTTCCGATTTAAGGCATTTCTCGATGTTGTGAGTGCCGAAACCAGTAATTGTGAGCCAGGGACCCCATTTTGGCTGTTTCAACTCAAATCTAATGTTAAGGTGGGAGGGTCCCTTTAACACATGCAGATGAATTATCTGATGGAGACTTAACTGTGTACCGAGTTTCAATTCAATCGGCCCAACGGTTGTGCCGTTATTGAGGTTGCAATTTTGGGGTTCTTAAAAAATGTCCAACTTTACCACGCGCCACGTGCGGTGGTTGGCAAGAACGCATGGTGGCCATCACACCACAGAACTTTTACGTCCAAGTGACATTCAGTAAAGAAGACCGCTTGTCAATCGGATGTCCCGTTCCTAAGATATTAGCTTTTGAAGAGCGTCCCCACGGCCGCTCATACTCAGGATTTTCCCTTAATTCAGTATGAACTCGCTCGCTCGCTGCGCTCGCTCGCTCGTAAAGCCTGAAACAGACTCTTTCCGCAGTCAGGAAATCGCATGCGAGAGCTTATTCAAATACATGGAAGCACGCTCGCATCAATCGCACGCACCTTCCGCAAGCGATTGATGCGAGAAAAATTGCAATGTATTTGAATAGGCTCTCGCATGCGATTTCCTGAACGCGGAAAGAGTCTGTTTCAGCCTTAACCATGTTAGCAATCCTTCGAAGAAAGTTTATAAACCTAGAGGCTGACTATTATCACAACTCATGGTATGCATCTTTATGATGTTATCTTTTGATTTCTGCAAATACTTTGTCATACCATTAAAAAATATCTTACCTGCTTTTGAATGAGTACCTAACACTTAACCCAACCTAAAATGTCGGCTTTCCCATACCTGCTACATTGCATGAGTAAATCGAGACATCCAGGCATTTAAACGGCACGTGCACTGTACCACACTTTTCAAAGTTTAATACAATGCTTTAATATCACAAGCCGTGTGGTTCAAGGGGTGTGGTTAAACACGTTGAACCCACGGACGTATAAATAAACTGGACCCGCAACCACCTCCATTCAGGTGAAGCCGACAAGGCGCCATCTTACGTTGCCAAAAAGCCGTGCTCTGGAAGGTCATCGAGCCAATACATACAATAAGAATTGCGTCTAAACGGATGATCGGATCGAGATGTTGGTGGTACCGTTCGACGGGTAATGCCTTAAGGCAGGTGATGATGCATGTCACAGGTCACCCGATGTCACATGGCGCGTGCCACGTGCCGACAAACTTACAAAGGGCAAAAACCTTTAACCCTCGCCCCGTTGGGGGGGGGCATTTGCCCCCTTCCCCTGTGGTTTTTCCTGAATAGCAAGAAAACGGCGGCGCGCAGCGCCGCCAAATTTCCAGTACCTTCCCGGGCATCAATTTGACACCTTCACACTGAATTTCAAGTCTTAGGTCACCTTAGGTCAGGAGTTATTGAGGTCAAACTGAGGTCATTTTCGAGCAAAAATGAGCAAAAAACATGCAATCTTGAAACGCTCACCAAATTTACAGTTACCAAGCAATTTCAAAGTTCCTTATATGGTCTAGTAGAAAAAAAGCGGCACTACAAAACTGTTATCTCGGATTTTCAAAATTTTGGGTTTTTGACCCCCAAAAATTTAAAAAATTGTTTTTTTTTAGAAAAACTAAAAAAAAACTCAAAAAAAAATCCGAATTTCGAAAAACGGGATATATATGATAGTCCCTGTGCTCGTCTATATGCATACCAAATTTCAGATCGATATCTCGTTTTTTGGCTAAGTTATAGCGAAAAAACTGTTCAAAAATGATGACGTCAAATTTTTGAACTCAATTTTTAACGATTCTAGACCACGAAGGGCAAAACAACGACCACCATTGAACTCCCCGTGACGAGCTGCATCGAATCGATACCCATTTTATGCAAAAATATCAACTTTGAAATTTGACCTGACCTTGACCTAACCTTGACCTGACCTTGACCAAAACGTGACCTAAGCTGGCCCAAAAGTCTGCCTGACCCACATAATCGCATTTGTCATGTAAAATGGACCATAAAACATGTATCACACGACACTTTCATATTGTGACCCCCCAGTGACCTGACCTCTGTGACCTGACCTGGTATCAGTGACCTCAAATAGCAAAATATGTGTTTGAAGAACATTTCCCCATCGATGATTTTCAATGAAATGCATTTTACTCAATTTTACAACGCATTTCTTGAAATGCCTGTAAACGGTGAAAATTGGACCTTTGACCTGACCTGTGACGTCATCGGTTTGACCTAGGTCAATAAAATTGGGTCACAAGGTAGTTCCCTGATAGGGCTATCCAACACCGTTTGCCGCTTGTCGCTAGGCTGCGTGGTTCTCGAGATCTTAGGGGGGGCAAATTGCCCCCCCCCCCCAACGGGGCGCGTTGCTCGGCAGAGCCCAACGGGGCGCGGGTTAAGCGACGCTTTATATCAAACGAAGGGCGGCACAGGTGCCAAACTCACAGGTTACATGTCCCAGTGTTTGACCACTAACATATGGTATGCTCATTGCTCGGCATCAGGGGGTGCGGAATGCACGCGTTAGTGGCGAAAAACATGTTTTGATGAGGCATCCTCCGATTCCGGAAAACCTTGACCTAGGCACACCGAATTTGGCACACTGACACTACTGGACACGCGCTTTAAGGTGCTGTACAAATAGGCGTGCTGGGGTACACGGTGCACGTGCTGTGCACGTGCAAACCTTTTGATGTTGCACTCTGTGTCACATATGCGGGTAGGGCGGGTAGCGCTGGCAAGCTCAAAGTGCCAAATTTACACAGGTTACCCAGAATGCATTCCAGCATAGTTATTGAGCATATCCATCTCCTGGTGGACCCCAAAGGTGCGCTCTGCACGTGCAAAAAATTGTCCGCGCCCGGCGGTGGGGATGCTTGGACACCCCATGTGGATTTATGTGAATATCACGGAAACAGCATTGTGGAGCGCCGCCGTTTTTTGGCACACCTTTTCATACATCTTTTTTTAAAAAATACTGCATAACTTTCAGGCTTAGGTCGCTCAAGGTTAGGTCACCAGGTTACGTCCAAGTGGCCTTACCTTAGGAAAAATTATGATGCCCGTTATAGCTACACAGACTAAACAATCGGTTTAAAACGTGCAGCGATTGATAAGATCAACAGTATATACGTAGAGAACCTAGTACCTACCTCTACCTCGAAATTTCAATATCACTGACCTAGGGTTCTGTTGATTTTGCGACCTCAGACCACCAGCATGGCAAATCATTTATGTTGTCAACTTCGGGCTCATAAACTTTTTGCTACCCAGCAACGCAAATTTACGCCTCAATCGCCGGCCAGCGCAGCATAGGCGTCATTGTTATCCACGTTGTTTGCGCCTGCAGTGATACTGTACCGCAATAACAATTATCTTCATCTTTCACCCATAGATGGCAGCAGCAAAGCGCCTGCATCTATGCTGTGCCGCAGTGCTCTTACAATACGAGCTGAGCATTTAGCAAGCGCGGTGTAATACGATTATGTGGTGGCCTGGACCGGTGACCGCGGCCAAGAAATGGTTCGAACTTGACTGAGTAGCGGTAAATCAGTAT